ACCAAAAAGTCCCTCCACTCCTTGGCAGGCATTTCAAATGTGCCCTCAGAATAAAAATAGAGAAATGATACTAAAAAGCTTAGTATAAAAACTAGCAACTCCTCTATGTTCCACAATCTTGTAGACTTCTCCCCAGACCTGTTCTGATCCCTCCTTCCATGTAACAAACAAAATAATATAGGTATGTCATTCTTTTTCTGATTTACTGACATTTGTTACCTTGCCCTGTTGGAGATGAAGATTGGTCCTTTAATGCCACTTTCACTTTTCTGGTTCCATTCTCTCAATATTGCTGAAGCAAAAGTCTAAGTTTAGGGTTGGGTGTATAGCTCAGTGGTGAAGCACATGCTTTATATATGTTGTGCAAGGTCTGGGGTTCAATCACCAACACACACACACACACACACACACACATACACAGTCCCTTCACTAGCCAGCGTCATGTTGCCATGGCAGTGTAAGAATTGCTCGCTACATAACCTAGTAGTTTGATTAAACTTATTGTTTTCCACATTTTCTTTTGTGGTGCTTCAAGTTAATTTATTTGACTTTTAAATTTTGTTTTGTTTTCTTGATAAGAATTTTTAATTTTTTTCTTACAGTTTTCTATGGCTACTGTAAGTTTTCTATTATTTCCAAAATATTCAAGAATATTATTCAATTATTAATTTCTTTTTTCTGATAAAGAAGGACCTCCCTAATATCTCCATCTTCTGCTCTAATCTGAACTAGTTGCTGCTTCTTTGGGCTGTCCCTTCATCCGTATGGTAAATAAAGAGATTACATTTCTGAAACTTTACTTTTTCAACTTTCACATTACTATGTTCTGTTTGAGAAATTTAATTCTACACTGAATAATCATTTCTCCTTAGTATAGAAGGTATGCTCTTTCATCTAGTAGAATTTGTTCCTTCCTATTAATAAGGTATTGTTATCCTAGAGCATTCATTAGTGATATTCCTTGTTTTATAAAACTTAGTAGTCATCTGAGTGTTGTCATTTGTCAGTGTTTAGATTAAATGTTGTTGGGAAATAATTCTCCATAGTTTTCTTGTGTTCTGTATAACTTGGTAACACACATCTTGTTTCATTGATTTTTGTATAGCACCCAACCTTGAAACACAGGCATAGCATCTCTTTCACAGTGAGCAAGCATCTTTAGTGTTTGTTTAAAAGATTGGAGATAACCTATAAGCTCTAGGTTCTTCTGTGTGTGCCAGAGTCCTGAGGCCCACTTCCCCTTGCCTTTTGAAAAATTTTGCTTGAAGAAATGCTGCCTGTAAGGATGGTACTCTGGGCCAAAGGAATAATAGCAATCAGCTTTTTGTCTGTGTTCTAAGAGTCTTGTATCTCCTGTCAGCATTCATAAAGATATATCAGGCTAACTTATGAGCTTGCAAAGAGGCTAAAATTTTGTATCTTCATAGTTCTTTTTCTATTCATATTTTTAAACGGTGCACAGTAATTGTACATATTTTGGAGGTGCTTTACAGTTCTTAAATCTTAATTTCTCTTTAAAAATTTCCTCAACCACTAACCTGTAGTTTTTTTTCTCCTCTTGCCATTCACTTGCTTATATAAGCATTTATTTATCTTTTTCTTATTTTCCTATTCCAAAGACATTTTACAATGTAAATATTTCATATATAGCAAAGTGCAAAATGTATTAGTTTGTTATGCAAATTTCAACTTTAGAAAAAACTTCTAATTGAATTGATTATTCGGTATGTTTCTATTAAATTCTTTTGCAAGGCACAGTATATAGGGGTGGATATGCATATTAAATGTAAAACATTATATGTTTAATTGTACTGTATACATTATAACATAATGTATTAATGGTAACACTTATAGACAGATGTTTTGCCTGAAAAGAGGGAGATCATCTTTTGTTTGTGTATAATTACCCTAAGATATTTATCAAGGTATATTTTATGTATCAAATCATTTCTGTTTTCAGTGGCATTTATAAATTGCCATTCATTTGAGTAGTTACTGTGTCTCAGACACCATGTCATACTTTTGACTTGGATTTACCTAGTTCTTTTAGTAGTCCCAAGAGACATAAGTTTTTATTGTTCCCATTTTTCAGAAAAAGAGATAGACAAAGAAAAGGCATATAACTTGCCCAAGGCTATAAAATTGGGAAGTACTACCCCAGTGTTGATGATCGAACTTAGGGCCTTGCACATGCTAGATAAGTGCTCTACCACTGAGTGGGCCATATTGCCAACTCTTTTCTAAAATTATTATTATTTTTTAAATTTTGAAACAAAGGACTCCCTAAGTTGCCCAGGCTGGGCTGGAACTTGTGATCCTCCTGTCTCAATCTTCTAAGTAGCACAGGTGTCTTCCATTGAGCCTGACTCTGAACTCTAGGCTCAAAAAATTGTATACTATTTCATATGGAAGTTCTTTAACACTGTCTAGTTTAAATTAATAGTGTGGTGCTTAAATATTGATTTAAGGTATATAACAACTGAGCTTCATTTGCTGTGGTTACAGTGGAATTCAATGCATAAATCTTGCAAAAAGTTACTGTGTTCAGTTACAGCTTTAAGAAAGTACCAGACAACAAAATAAAACCATATAGGAGCTGATATTTACACATCTAAAAGTTGAGAAATTCTAAGCTGTGGTTCCCACAGCAACCGCAGCTCAGCCTCAGGGCAGTCAATGTTGCAATCCAAACTGAACACCATGTGCAGCCACATGATATAATATTCTACATGCTCTGGGGGGTCTGGTAATGGCCACTGTGGGAACAATGAATGCGTAAATTATCAGTTACTGGTTTATCACTGTAGTTGGGGGCTTTTCATTTATGTGGTGATTTCATTGCAACATAGGTGTTTCAGTTGGTGATGCATCTTGGTGGCATTTCAGTGCGGCTTAAATTATTAATGAGTCCCGAAACAAAATGTCTTGTAAGATTATTTTATGTCTTACATCTGGTTTATAAACAATCATGTTAGCTCTCTTCCCCTCCCCCACTCCCAGTGGAAAAGCATCATTTTGGGAGTTTGTGTTTACATTCAAAGTGCTGTTCCTAGGCAGGTTCAAGATGCTGTTAACCTTTGAGATGTAGTATGTGCTGGTGCTTAAGAGAGATAGATGACTAAGAAGTACATATTAGAGCCTCTCAAAACGCAAGATCATCAATCTTCAAGTAGCCTGGCTCCATGCAGCACACCACCATCCGGGATGCATGGAGCACTTCTACAGCTCACCGACAAGCTCAGTACATTCTGCTGCTTATTTTGGTATATTCTCAGTAGAATTGGCAATAGGACATTATGAATTGTTCTGCTCAAATTTAGTATATTTTCTGCATTGTGTCTTGACCCCTAGCGCTTATCATTTTATTGATGGATCTCTCTCTTGATGGAATATGCATTTCTACTAGGAAACTCTCAAATACCTGGGTAAATTTAACATTTTTCTCAGTGGTAGACTCTTTTATAATATAAGTGATTTCATAAGTTTATAGTAAAATCATTGTTGCCGAATTTGTACAGTAGGAAAAGGAAACCCTAACAAATTGTAACATCAATTTTAGTTGTAAACATCCAAGAAATAAATAAATAAATTTTATGTACTTACCTTGGGGCATCCCTAGAGATTCCTGGGGATGCTTTTGCCTTAATTAGGAAAATATTTACAGAGTGTCTAACAGATGCCAGATAGTGTGGATTCTAAGTAAAATACACATGGGCCTCTTAACCATTGTGTTTGGAGATCTGAATATTTTTAAACTATTATAATTTGGTAAACAAGACCATGATATCAAATATTATAATTTGGTAAACAAGACCATGATATCAGGCATGTTATCAACTTGAAAAACCAACTTAAGTATTTGTGAAACTCCCTAATGAAGAGGCAAAGGCTAACATTATAAATTAAGGAATATTTTTAGGTGGTATTTCATTCATTTTTTTTAACTACCACATTTATTCCACATGCACCTTTTTCAGTTTCAGCATACCTTATCCAATGTCTACAACACACTGGAACCTATTTTTACACAACGTTTTTGAAGGAGGAATAAAAATGGTGGGGGTGGATGCTGATTGTTTTTGCTTGATATGTAGATGTAAACAAACATGATCCTTCATGGCTAAGACGTTAATGTCTTTATGAACACCTCTAGGATAGTCCATTGGCTAAGGTAACTTCTTGTGAAATTTCTCAGGATGAAGTATTTTATGTCTGGGATTCTGCTTACGACATGTTCCAGTTGACATGCTGAGTTAGGAGAGGAGGGACTCTCAAATAGTGACTTCAAAGATTTTTATGTCTTACCTCTGGTTTATAAACAATCGTGTTAGCTCTCTTCCCCACCCCCACTCCCAATGGAAAGCATCATTTTGGGAGTTTGTGTTGACATTCAAAATGCTGTTCCTAGGCAGGTTCAAGATGCTGTTAACCTTTGTGGATTATAATGTCTCAAATGTTTTGATCTGTAAACAATTTTAAACATGCATCCCCAGTGTCACTCACATTTATTTATTTATACCATAACATTGTAGTAATATATAATTATTTCCTCAAACATATGTCAAAAGAAGAGAAGTTAAAATAATGAGATAAGTGGCATTAAAGTTCAGTTTTATTTCCTTATCCCAGCAGTATAGTTTTTTTTATATATATATTTATTTTTTAGGTGTAGATGGACACAACACAATACCTTTTATTTTTATGTGGTGCTAAGGATCGAACCCAGTTCCCGCCCCAGCTAGGCAAGCGCTCTACCGCTGAGCCACAATCCCAGCCCAAGTATAGTTTTTAACTTCTGGGACATGCTAACTTCAGATGCTGTTGCTTTAAAATTCAACTCATACTCACTCACACCCATCTTACTGAAGGTCATTCTCCCTAGAGGAAAGACCTAGTTAACTTGATCATACTGACTATGAGACTAGGGTTTTATCCTGCTTCCTTTCACATTTTGGAAATAAACCTAACGGTGTGCTTTTCTTGTGTCTTGCTGCCTCTAGGACGAGGATGGGACGGAAGAAGACAGTAGCCGTGTGGAACCAGTTGGACATGCTGACACTGGTTTGGAGAATATACCCAGCTTTTCTCTGGAGTAAGTTACTGATGGTTTTAACTATATTTGTTATATACATGTAGCATCATTAATTGCAGCAAGTATTCCAAAAGCATATGGCATGCGGAATGTTTGTGCTTAGTTAAGAAACATGCCCTGCTTTGATTTGTTTTTCCCAAGAACATCTTTCATCTGTTGAGTTAATTACGTAATGTAAGCAGTGTAGCATGGAAGTTCTTATGTACCTGTCCTGAGTTTCATGCCGTGGCAAATACTATTAAGTTAGAACATTAAAATAGTATTTGATTGAAAATGTTCATCATGTTAACAGCACTGTAAACGCTCTGTTTTCAGATTGCTTTGTCAGTGTTTTGGTTACTCGTTCTTCAACTTTGTTAACTTAAAAAAAAAAATTGGCTATACTTTACATGAAAAACTAGTTGGATCACATCAGCATTAGTCACTATTGTGTGTGTATGTATATATATATGTATATGTGTACATATGCATATATACACATATATATATGTATTTTTAATTTGAAGAAATAGAATGTCTCAAGACATTTGATTAAAGATCATAGATCAGGGACTTTAAACATGATTTTAAATACAAAAGAACAAAATATTTTCCAGTAGTATTATAACACTGTAATCATTGTAATTATTGACATGTTAAAAATGGAAGATATTCTCAGAACCTCAATATCTTAGAGCAGGTAAGATAGTCATGTAGGTTTCTTTCTTTCAATGTGGGTGAAGTTGGTGATGTAGACATTAATATTATATCTTAATTCTGTTTTCTCTTGGTTTTCCAAGGTAGAGCTCTAAGATAATAGTGATATTAAACAGTCTCTAGGATCAGGTTATGATTAAGCAAGGTTATGATTAAGCGTACATCAATTGGCACTTAGAGTATTTGCATTGGAGACATACTTGCTGTGCCATAGTTCTTTTTAGAACAAATAATAAATTGAAATAAATTAAATTTATTTAAGTTGTACCATTCTTATTTGCTTAGCCATTTATTAAACAGGTGCTGAAATTGTTAGCAGTCTCTGAGAGAGAGAGTATCAGTAGATAAAACCCACACTTGAAAGCTCTCTCATAACAAATTTAAGAAATGGTGACTGAAATTTCATAGAATAGTGGGCAGTAAGGACAATTGGACTGTCCTCTGGATGGTCACCCACAGGGGCAAACTCTTTGACCTCACTGGATCAAAGATGAGACAAATGTCAGAGTACTTGGTAAATTATCATGTGCTGTATGGATACAGCAGGTTTATTCAGCTAATCCTCAGAGTCTATGACATAGATATGCAGATGGAAAATTTTCAGTGGAAGTCTCAAGATTTGATTTGCAAAGCATGAGTTTATATTATATGGAAGAGCATGGTCCAAGAGAAATGGTTCTGTGTTGTTTTTAATGTAGTTATCTCTGATGATTGCTCTCCCTCCATGCCATCAGACTAGTGTTCAGGTATGTGCTGTTTGACGTGGCCTTCATCACCATGCTTATATCCTCAATTATGTGTGTATATGCTTGTTTACTTGGCGGGATTTTTGTTTTGTTTTCTGTTGTTGTTTATTGTGTGTCTGTGTTGTGGCGGTTTTTTTGTTTTGTGTTGTTTGGTTTGTTTACAGTACACGTTCATGCTCCCTCATTCATCATTGTCTCACAGTGATATGGTAAAGCTCGTACAAGTCCCCAACGATGGAGGGCCTCTGGGAATCCATGTAGTGCCTTTCAGTGCTCGAGGAGGCAGGTAATGTATCTTGGAGGTTTTTAATTGAATCATAATGTGAAGTGTTGTTTTTTTCTTCATTTATGCTCAGATATGGAGTGGTGTTGACTTCACATATGCTTAATAGAAAACATTTTCACTTGGGGGCAACTGCTGCTCCATTCATACGTATGTATCCTAATCACAGAAAGCTCTTAGCCTAATGAAGAGAGGTTTTACAGGCACAAAAAGAAATTGTGCATTTAAATTATCATAATAAGTTTATTGTTCATCGCATCTAAGCTAACATTTGACTTTGCTGTGAATTGATGGCATTAGTTAGAATTCCACCTGGAGTTGCAAAGTGTGGGAGATCTTAAAGCATTTACCTGGAAAAATTCATGCAGTAAAAATTATCTGGATAAATTGAGTGATGATTAATTTAAAATTTGCCTTTATGATTATTTAGTTCTACAGTTTTACTGACTTTGATAATTTTAAAATACCCTGTGAGTTTGAAATTTTAGAAAATGCAGCATGCTGGAGATTTATCCCTTTCTTGTGGTTTCTAACTCCTTCATTCACTTTAATCTCCAAATATTCAGAATATCAAAATGGTTCAGTGTTTGTTAATCCAGACTTCATTATGGTACAGAAGACACATCCTTAAAGGCTGCATGTGTCCCATGAGATTCCTTAATTCTGATCCTTTTTCTTTTCCCCTGATTAAACCTTGTGTAATCTTGGTTTTAATATATTCAAATGTGTGAATTGATTTTGGCAATAATGCCTGGTGGGCATCCATCCTGGACAAGTGAAATGCATGGCATTCTTCCCCAGGAACTTAATCCCATGCATGTGTAACTTAGCAGTTTTATTGCAGTCTCTCTTATTTGCCTGTCTATTGATTACCTTGTTAATTTTTGGCATCTTAATTTTTAATTCCTTATTTCTTTTATTCTTTTAACCTTATTTTTTTGTTTTTCATCTACCCTTTCTTTTCATGGGGAGAGAAAAGGGGAAGTTGGAAAGTAGCCTGAGACCAGTAACTGAACATTGAGACCAGTGTCTGAGAACCTAGACAAGTGACTGAGTGACCAAGAGCTTAGACTGCCAACTCCGAGCCTTAGATACAATCAAATCCATGATCGAGGAATTATACATATCTAGTGTCTTTTAAAAGACAGACGAAGTATGATTAAATATGTACTTTATGTTTTTAATGTAAGTAGCTGAGCAATCGTACCACCTTTCTTTTAATTTAGTAATTTTGGCAAGACCATATTTCAGTCCTTTGGTAAAGCACCTGATTTATGGAATACCTCAAAGCTGAAACTGTTTTTCTTAGAACTATGCTGGAGTACAATGAATCTTGAATGTTACTGCTTTATACTAGTACCTGAAATTCACCTTGAATTTTTGAGTGTTATTACATTCAGAGTTGTGATTGCTTTCATTTTTTTCCTCCTTTCTTTTATTTTTATTTTTGAACTCTAAAGGAGCATAAAATGTCTTCAAAGAACTTTCAGTTAAACAGCATTAGTTTTCAAAGTAGACCTTGTATTTCCTTTAAAAAATATGTTTAAAAAACTCAAGAATTTCTTGAAAAATATTTCATGAATAGGAAACAAAAAGGTAAGCAGGTAAAATGGATTATGGCTTCCCAATAGTAATGTGCCTTAAACTGTCTGTGAAACTTAACTCATAACAAATGAAATTAAAAGTGTTCATATACCACCTTCAAACCAGTATTTCCTTTACAAACATGTCATTTTTTAAATCATTTTAAACATATTTACTACCTCAACATTAAATGATATTAGGATGAAATAAATATATGAAAAACTTAAAGCAAAAGGGGAATAAGATAGGAAAATACACCTATTAGATTAATTCATAGGAAGACTTTAACAGAACCCAAGATGGCCTTTAGTTGCTGATTACCATGGTGTTCAGTTTTGGTTCAGTGAACATATTCAAGTGGTAGAATATCTCTTTGTAGAACTAAATTTTTTTCTGTAGCTGAGTCCTTTTTAAATTACTATTAATTTGGCACTTAATGAAGAAAATCTTGTGCAGATTCCCTATATATATAGACAAAAACTTATTTAAGAAAAACACATTCTTTATATGCCCTTTTTAGGCATCACCAATTTTTATATGGAAACAGAGAAGAATTTTTTTTTTTCAAGTCTTGTGTTGCATCTTTAAACTTCCACCATGATAGTCATGGTTCTTCAGAGATGGGTAGACAATGGGGAAGGAGAAGCAGGTAGGCCGCTCATACTCCCAGACACTGATCTTCTTGATCCCAAATGCACCCAGAAATGCTTCAAAGTGCGTTCCTCAAGTTCAGCTGGAATCGTTTCCAAGCATTCAAATTGTGATAATTCCTGTATTAGGTGCTAGGAGACAAAGATGAATAGGAAATAGTTTTCCTCTGGGAATTTGCAGTCTAGATGGAGTGATAGCCGAGAAATCACACAATTATAATTATGTGATAAATGTTGATACAGTTATATAATAGTGATCTGTGAGCTGAGAGAGGAAGAATTGTCTGTGTTTGGTAACTGAAGCTGGCTTGTTGAGGATGACAATTTTAAATGTGATGACAGCTTATAAAGGGAGCTGCATCAACTCCATGGTGGCTGCAAGGGCAAATTAAGCAGTATGGACTAGCAGAAAGGAAGAAATTAAGTGGAACTCATGAAGAAATTGCATATACCTCTAGTGGGAATACAAGGATACATATTCATGGTACGTAAGTGGAAATTTCCATGAATACCTTCCATGGTGCAATATTCTAATCTTTCTTGGGCCTTCTCAATTTTGGAGACATAACTAATTGAGTAACTCTTACTGAATACTTATTTTTATACATGTGATAAATACACATCAGTGTTGCTTTCCCATTTAGACTTTCAAAGTCAAGGAGTATAGGGTACAATTCAGAATTGGAATTTTGTGTCTTAAGCAAAATGGAAACCCTCCAGACTACCTCGAATGTCACACCTAATTAAGGAAAATAGTAATTTAAAATTGTGAACTCAAGATTAGAGAAAATTTTTAAGACACTTAGCTATTATTTTGGAAAATGTATAATCAAGTTTTTCTAAAGAAGGATCTTGCCAGGCCTATTTGATCTGGGACATTAATGACAATCAATCCTTCCTTGGATGACCGCCTCTTGATACTTATAGATGGTGACAGTACCATATTCCCCTTGATGATGTTTTTCTTTAGTTATCTTCCTTCACATTATTAAAAACAATTAACTCATCTCCCTCCAGAACTCCTTAGTCACAGTTTCACATCCTTGAAATCAAGTTTCCTTCCATACCTAACATTTCATTTCACCCTGATTTAAGTGGCAAAGGTAACCTCATTTAAATAACAAATACTTCTATATTCAGAAAATTTAAAACACATGATTGTGACTTCCTTTAGTAGAAGACCATGCTTTATTTTATATACTTTTATGCTTCTGGGACCTATTCATAGATATTGGACCTTGGATTTTCGGTAGTACTTTTACTTGGCAAAGAAATGAATGAACCCATGAATGAATTAATCCATTTTAGCTTTGACATTACTAGATTAAAAATAAAGCCGCAGTGACATATCCTGGCCTCAATAATATTTAGTGAGTTTTCTTGAGACTTTCTAATGATATTGAAATATGATTATGATATATCATTAAATCTATAAAAAGTAAGAGAAAATTGCTTGCTGAAATAGAAGTTGACCTATTAAAATTATAAAATTTTGTAGTTGGTTTCAAGGGACTTAATTGAGAGAGATGTATATAAAAAAAAAGATACATGCTAAGTGTCATTGGGATTTAGAGAAAGTAGAACTATTGAATATAGCACACTGTGCAAGCCCTCCGAGAAGCAATTGAACTTGACCTATTCCAGGGACATTGTTGTGGAAAAAGTCATTCCAAAAATACGTTATGAGGAAGATGCTGTATACAAGTATACATGATTAGGTGGGAAATAGTAAATTATTTGAATCATAATGTATTAGAAGATAACCCTGCAGAGACTTTTATTCATCTTACTTGGACTCCAATCTAACTAATAGTACATATTCTAAATCTTTTCCCATATGGAAACAAATATGTTTACAACATATTTAGATACAGTATAGACTACTTCTCTGAATCTCTTCTGTAGTGGGTATTTGTATACATTCATCTTGATATTTAAATCTGTGGCACTTAGAATCTCTTTGGTATTACTTTTTCCTTAAGGAAATAGTAATTATGTGTTTGTGTTTATTAATTTTATTTAAGCAGATTTTTTTTTTAAAAAAAATCTAGTATCTACCAATTACAATTTCTGGTGCAGAGGATATCCCAGATCAGGAATTCACAAATTTTCTATAAAGAGACCCTCAGGGGCACGAGTCCCTGAGGTTCTGTTGCAACTACTCATACTCATTGTAGTTTGAACACTATCATTGACAGAATATAAACAAATGACCAGGAGTAATCACATACACCTGTAATTCCACTCCTGGGGAGGCTGAGGCAGGAGGTTCATCAGGTTTGAGGGCAGCCTGGGCAACTCAGGCCTGACTCAAAATAAAAAATAATAAAAATAAAAAGGGCTGGGAATGTAATTAAGTGACAGTGAACTTGCATAGCATTTGCGAGTTCCTGGTTTTTATTCCCGTGTATTGCAAAAACAAGCAAAACAAACTAACAAAGGAGTGTGGCTGTGTTTCAGGAAAGCTTCTCTTACAAAATCATGTGCTGGCTGGTTTGACTCATGGACTGTAGTTTGCCAGCCTTTTGCCCGAGGGAATCAAATAAACAAAAATGCCTGATGGCCTGGAGTTTATAGTCTACTATTTGTCGTGTTTAAAACTCCCTTATCTGTTTTCTATTTATATTTGGGGGAAGCAACCATCCATAATTCTTTTCAGTTTCACTTAACTGGTTGACAAGAAAGCCTTTTGTGGCAATGGGGTGTTATTTTGCACATTTTTCCCTTCCCCCGCCTGTTCTCAGGAATTCACAAGAAAAAAGGAAAAAA